ATCAAGCACCCTGCAAGGAGTTATTATAATATTTTGATTTGTTGGTTCACATTAATTTTGAATAACTGAAATTGGCAAATTGTACAAAATTTGAGTGTAGTACACGCCGGCTAGTTACGTTGACCACGTAGGATTGACTGAAAAATAAGTGCAAATAGTTAATAGCAGTTGAGGCGTAACGTAAACACTCCAATTGATAAATTATGGACCAAAATGTAACTTTCCTGAAAGGTTGGTACCCCTGTTGCTAATTTCTTATAGACCTGTGTGTAAAGTTCCCATTCTACACCATAAAACGTAGTCGAAAACATTAACGTAATTTCAATCTATATTTTAGAATCGAATATAAATACGCAAGCAGCAAACTTCTTTTGCTTTTCCTTCTTGGGAGGAGCTGGAATCAGAGATACCAGATGTGTGTAAATTAAAATCTACTATAAGCATTAGATAGTATTCCTTGAGCGATTAATAACTGCACAATTAGTTCATTCATTCATAAAGATTGTGGTTGGATTTCCAGGGGATGGTGGATTAGACTTCAAAAGAGTGGCATGAGTCCCTGCTTTCTCGATAGCATCAGCATCTGTAGCAGACAAAACTTCCAGACAATCAAGCCCTAATTGTCGCTTGATCGGTTCCAAGTTCTCCTTTAGAACCTCAATTTCACCAAAGGGCAGCTTCAGATCCAATGCTTGAACCCCGACAGCCATAACTTCGTCCTTCTTGAACCTCAAGAAAGGCATACATAGCTTCTGCATTTGTTTGAAATTGCCTTGCTGTCCAATTGCACTTCTCTGCATTTCAGAAAGGATCTCTTCATCGGGTGCAAAGGATTGTGTTACGGTGTTGAACTTCTTCTGGAGTATGTTCAAGCATTCTTTTTTCCACCCATCATACTGCTCATTCACAAATATTAGACCAACAGTTGGCTTATTTTGGCTATTAGGTATACTTACATTACCTTTTTTGGAACCCGTAATCTGTTTCTGCAAAAGCTTCCTCATAGATACAATTGAATCTTGCAAGTATTTGTTGGCCATTTTGAGAGAGAGATCTGGCAAATCAGCTTGAGGCCACCCAGCTTTTACGACGTATCCGTCCTTCTTCAACAGCTCCTTCCAGACATATTCGGCATAATGCGGACAGATAGGAGCAATTAGACATGTCTGAATATCCATAAAGCGCCACAATAAATCACGGTTCATGCCCCCTGATCCGCAAGAAAGCCTATACTCATCCCTTGCAGCCTGAAGATCATAGAAACCAGTTTTCAGAGCTTCCCGAAACAAGTACTCACTATAGTTCTTCTCAGTCATCTTGACTGCTATATTCATTTCATTTGCAAACACGTGATCTGCATAAGTGGAAGGGGGACCACTTCTCAAAGATGACTCAGCTTCAAAAAGCTCTTCCATCCACACCATCTCTTTTGTCAGGCGTAAGATTGCAGCATTCGCTGTCTCGAAGACAAAATTGGCATCGTCCATACCATCACCCGCATCTGCGAGAGAGAATCTCGTAGCATCAGCTGAAAACTCCTCAATAGCTTGACGAACTGTCCTGAAGTTCCCTGTGGACTTCGACATTTTCTCAGAGTTCAGCATTATGTGTCCATTGCACCTGAATCCCCGAGGCCAGTGGTGCTTGGGCATGATTGCTACGTGATTATATATGCAAAAGGTAAGATGATTCTGAATAAGATCCTTGCCAGAAACTCTGAGATCAAATGGATACCAATACTCAAATTCTTTCTTCATCTCAATAAGCTGAGAAGGAGATATAACTGATGAGTCGGGATATGGCCCACCAACAAATAAGAAATCCCAAACATCGTCTGTTAGTTGCTCTGGTTTTACTAAAGTTTTATCGGTACCATACATATCGCCTCTCTGCAACAGATGGGCTACAGTGTAATATGCCATGTAAAGAGTTGAATCGGACAAAGACTCAACTAAAAAGTCCTCATCCCAAGGAATACGAGTTCCAAGCCCAAAATTACGTGAGCATGCCCACTGATTCAGCCAGCTTAAGGTGTACTCAAAGCCATGCCGTGACTCATCTGAGTAGAGATTCATGTCAGCCAAACACTCATCTGCTGATTTCTTCCATTCTGGTTCTCCATAAGTGATATACCATTGATCAGTCAAAGCCACGACACACTCATCCCCAGATCTTGACATGACCTTCTTTTCGGGTTCACTGTAGACAACGGCTTGACCAAGCTCTAGAAGCTTGCTCCTGATTAGACTTTTGGTTTCTTGGACTTTCATTCCTGCAAACTCTCCAACAATCATGGTTCCCTCATAGAATCCTCCCTTGTAGATTATTTTCTTCGCTTCATCAAGCTTTTCCCTCTCATTCTGGCTTTTGATTTTTTTCTCATGGCATATTCTCTCTGCAGACTTATCTCCAAAATCTGGGTGGTGAATGATAGGTATGATCTCAAATGGTACAACCCACTCGTCCTTCACGCCAAACTTGGCTCTGAATGCTGGCTTTGATTTCAAATCATGGAGGGCCATGTAATCATCAGGAGAATCACTGGGAACACTAGTAACAATCCCAGTACCCTTGTCGGTGAGAACTGATAACATGGGCAGAGTATATATGATATCATTAAATGCCAAAGGAGATCTCAGAGGCAAACCAATAAGATCTTGACCAGTCACCTCAACCAAACAAGTTGGCTTCTCGGGAATGCGTGACAGCCCTTGATAAGCCAAATTCAGAGCTGCCCTCTTTGTTAAGATAAACACATCCGTATCGTTAATTTCAAAAGCCCCATATTTCCCATCTGGCAATACCCAACAATTTGTTTGCCCGTACATGGTCTCTGGTCTCAATGTAGCAGCAGCAAGATATACCTTCTTGCCCTCCAAAACGCTCATCTTTGGCGGAAAAGGTGAGACAACATCAATTTTTACGAGTGTATACTCCTGCGGAATAACACCTTCCCCAGAAGCCCGGTCATGATCTGCACAGGGCTGCCCATCCAAAGGTGAATATATAGTATATCTTAAGTCCTTAACAATCTTACCCATTGATTTCAATTTCCTCATCTGCCACCGGACGAATGAATCAAAATAAGGATTCATATCTGTTGTGATAAAAGTTCGCCTCCAATCACATCCCAACCCGAAAGCCTTCAAATCCTCCACAGCTAGAGGCGGGAAAAAGGTCAGCCAGTGGTATGGATCTTTGAACTTCTCAATCTCCTCATCAGTCATACCGTAACTCTTCATAATCTCCCACTGGTACTTGACACCATCAGACTTAGCAACAACCTTCGATTTCTTACCCTTAAACTTACCACCAGGTTGAGTCTGATTTCCTGCACTCTCGCCCTTGGGTTTCCCTTCTTGCTCAGCATCTTCCTCCTCCTTTACAACAGGAAACACAGGTGGGCATCCAAACATCTCAATCTCCCTTTTAATCTTATCGGCTGAGGCCTTAATGGGCATCCCAGTACAATGAAAAGCAAAAGGCAAGAGCACATTTGCACCCCTCAATCTATGATAAGCCGCAGCAAATTCAAGTTTCGATAGGGAAAAGGCATGTCCCAAGTGCAGATAACCATTCATATAGGGAAATGGAAAGTTCCCAAAGAACTTATCACCTGGTTTGGGAGGCAAGTCCTTGGCTTCAGCCTTGAACACATCACCCTCTTCCCACCACTTCTGGACTTTAGACTCGATTTCCAAAAGACGATCTCTGCGTGCAAAGCTCTTCCCATATTCTTCCGCCATTTCGTTACAAGCAAGCCCGCCGAAACTGTAAAAAAAAGGGGTAAAGAAAATAGACAGTTAAAAGTTGGGGAAAAACTGACACTCATTCTATTAAAGAAAGCAGAATTTGGAGATCAAGGCCTAGCTAAGTGGTAAGAGCTCAGCCTTACCACCATTTGACAAACAAAAACATGTCATTTGCGCATTCATTCCATGTGCAATACCGAAAATTAAATCAATTTGCATCAAAATAACTAGGTACAAAATCATGTAAAAGAAAGAAATACCTGAATTTATTCGATTTAAAGATTAATAAGGAGGAAAGAACGTGTCTTGGAGGCTTGGATTGCTGAAGGCTAACGCTTCTTGGTAGATCATGAGACGCCACCGTTGACTAGGGTTTTGGATGTAGTAGATTTCCGTTTCTCTTCCATTTTCTGGTTTTACTGGGAACGGGTGAAGCCGTTTCAGGTTGGTGTTTGCAGATAGCCGGAGTAATGGTCATATTTGTAGTGGCACGCCGTTTCAAAATATATTCTTTTAAAATTAATTTTGAACCACACATTTTTCAATAAAATTACGACAATAATTTTTTCTTACTTTTAATCATATATTTTTTATCATATCATTATTTAAAACATATTATTTCCTCAATAATATCTATCAAACACTCCCTAAAAATAACTCTGCTGAAAACTTACAGAATAATTTTAGATTTTGATTTGAGCCTCATGATTTGGCAAAGAATGCATTTTTAAATAGTAGATTGATGAGAAATGTGTAATTAAAAAATAACGAAAATTTTTGAATTTACGTATAATATTATTTTATTAAAGAATGTGATTGAAAAGAAAAGAGAGAAAAAAAATGTATTTTCTAAATAATGAAGCTCGAACAAATTCTTTAAGATGCTTCAAATATCATAAAATAAGCTAAAATTAGTTTTTTAAATTAAATATTAACATACTGAAATTTCAAATTGGTACTTCAATTGATTTAAATATTGAAAAAGAAATATGTTTTAAAATGAAATAAATATGCAATAATAAGTAACACACGTGTAATATATTTAAGAGTTACCTTATTGAATCTAGTTTAACATAATGAAAATATTGTGAATGCAATTGAATATCGATTCATTCGTAAAAAATAATAATAACAACAATAATAATAATAATAATAATAGTGACTGAGAAGGTAATTATTTTTCATTTATCATGAGCGCTTATTCTAGCTTATGTATGGAAAAGTTTCTCGCTTCAGCCGCATTGTCGTGCTTCGAATTTCTCAAATTTGTCTCAGTTTTTATTTAATTTATATTTTTCAATTTAAGTGCTTGTTTAGATTTCATTATAAATGCATTATAACATAAAAGTCAAAGTCTCCAAAAAATTGAAAATAAAATAAATAAACCCTTAAAATGCAAACAATTGTCTCTCTTTTCCCTCTTAGCAGCACCTTGTGTCGTGTCAAGAGAGAGAATATTTCAAAAAAAAGGTTGAACCTTGATCTTGAGGCCCCGCCTTGCCACTCAAGCATTGTGATTGAGGTAAATCGTGAGACGTGTCTCAGCAGGCCAGAGAGAGAATATATCATATTACTTTTTAAGATATATTCCTAAATTTTCCTCGATAAGCTTGCAACTTTTCTCTGGATTTCTCCATGATTTTTGCGGAATAAATTCCCATTTCATCTCTATGCTTGAATAAAAGGGGAAGAATGTCCTATAATTTATTCTCGTNGGAATAAATTCCCATTTCATCTCTATGCTTGAATAAAAGGGGAAGAATGTCCTATAATTTATTCTCGTACTAAAAAAAAAAAAAAATCGGCAATTCCCATGGACACGGAAGATGCCGTAAATTTGCTTGCGAATCAAAGAATTTTTCAATTTTTAATTCGTGGAAATTCTTAGAATCAATGCATTACGAGCTCATTTAGTTTGCTTTTAGTATTCCACTACATCGTCATGCTACAAAAATAATTGGAGGAACTCTAGGATGGTTCTAAAGAATGATTTAGGATCGTGCTACTTGTACATTTTTTTTACACTAAGTTTGACATTGTGCCACATGTCGTATCATGATTAGTCAGTTTTTAAACATTACACACTTTCACGCCAACAACACTTTGAATTTTCAAAGCATGTCAAACTTCATGTCAGCAAAAGAATGTACAAATGGCTTAATCCAGTGATTTATCAATAAAATTCCTCGAAACAAAGAAAATATAGAAAACGACTACTAAAAGATGCATGATATGTCCCGATGAGTTTCTAAAGACTAGCCGCTTGCCATTTTGAGGTACCAATTTTATTTTTTTTTCTAAAAAAAAGAAGTATGTGATTCTATAATAAGATTATTGATATGCTGCGTTTTTTTTTTTTAAATAATAATTATTTTAGCAAAATATGACAACTTCTAGTCATTAAAAATTTGTTACAAATAAAAAAATTATTTCTACAATTGACTTTTCATATTTGGATTTTTATGTAATCGAAAACAAATCTTCGAGCTCAAGTTGAAGAGTTAAAAGGGGTCATGGATCCTCGATTTGAATTCTCAGTAGAAGATATAGATTCAAGTATGGTGGAAATCTAAAAAATATACACGAATGAATGTTATATTAGTTGATGACAAAATTTTAATTAGTTAAAGAAAATCATTATCTATTAAGAATTATTTTACGCAAGCTTTGAACATGGTTGTATTTTTGTAACATTTATTAGAACTAGTCAAGTTGAACGTGCATTGCACGTTATTCTGAAATACTTTATCAACGTCGTAAAAGTAATATTCGATACAAACTTGTTGAGAGGATTTGATTAGTATCAAATGATCTAAAGAAAATAAAATTTAGGATAAAAATTTAAGAGAAAAAAATTGTACTCTCAAAACTCTACTTCTATTATTCAGATTTTTTGTGATGATGAAATACTACAATGAGCAATATTTTTATATTATATTTGGTACATAAGAATTAATTTAATACATGAATTTAAACACTCATTAAAATTCCTAAATACACGAATATGAATAAATTCATCTATAATAATCTATATTCATCACGTAAAGATTCATTGAGTTTAGATTAATTTGAATGTTAATTAATTAAGAATTAATGATACGAAATTCACACATGACAAGATTTTGTAGTATTTATTATATACTAAAAAATGAAAAGTAACGTATTATTGAAATAATTAAATTGTAGTATGGTTAAAATCATCCAAAAATATTATTAATGAAGAAGAAACATAAATGAATTATTAGTTGTAATCTTAGGCCCTGTTTGATGAGCCACTTTTTCCTAGAAAAACGGAAATTAAATTCCGCCTTTCACACATTTTTGTGTTTGATTGCCAAAACTTTTCCCCCCAATTATTTTTCCACTTCCCACCCCATACGCTTGAATTCCACAAAATGAATGAAAACATTTTCCCACCATTTTGGTGGGAAAATGCAATTCCAGGTTGTGTTTTTTTTTTTTTTTTTGGGGAATGGAAACAAATTCCCACCCCCTAGCATTTTGGTGGGAAAAAGAATTCCACGTTTCGTGAATGAAAGCATATTTCATAACTAATTATTAAAAAAAAAAATTCACTTTAATGAACAATTTTATGTAAAACAAAGTCAAACGAACATTAAATTTTGATTAAAAAATGACATTTCAGGAAAAATTTGTTTTTTTAAAAAAAATTTTGGCAATGAAAACAAATTCTATAACCAATTGTGGAAAAAATTATCACTTTAATGGACAATTTCTTTGTAAAACAAATTCAAATGAACACAAAAGTTTAAAAATTTTCGGGTGAAAAATTATACTAATCAAACACATTTAATTAACAATTCCCTGAAAAACAATTTTTAGACAATTACTTTATCTAAAATTCATTTTCTTTCCACTCATTTTTCACCATTGCAATCAAACGGACCCTTATAGTTATCAGAGTAGCTTAATATGGAATTCTATCCAGATCTTGATGTATAATTCTATATACACATTCTTTAACCAAATTGTTGGCAATTTATCATTTCCACACATTTTCAAATGGAAATTTGGTAACAATAAACATATTGCTTCTATAAATTTGTTAACATTTCTTCCTATAATCTCAAAAGTTGCTCATAATTACTTAAAAGCTCATAATTCCGAATGTTCCAAGCCTTTTCATCAATCTGCCTTCTTAAAATAATCGGTTATGTTAAAATTCAATGGCTGAAACAACTCTTGACGTTCCCATGTGGCGCGATCACTTCTATACAAATGTGGATATCTATTAATGTTCCAGAAACATTTAGTACATTTAGAACTAACTGTATATGCCCAGAAGAATCCATGACTTCTTGAGTTTATATAAAGATAATACCACCGCATTGGAAAGGCAACCTACGGGAAATTGAATCTGTAGGTAGTGTTTCGAGGCAGTTCATATAGAGAATTATCTTTGTCTGTGTATTTGCACATTAAGTAAATTGGATGGTTTCCATCATTGGCTAATGTGACCTCGACATCACGAAATAATTCAAATTTGCATTTTGCAGGGATGAAAGAAATGAAAACAAGTAGGAAGAGAAATGTAAAATTTATGTAGGTTTTCTCTGCCATGGAACCAACCGTGGCTAAGATTTAGTTGCAGGTTGCCGATGGAGATTGGAATGTTTTTATTTTCTATGTTGGGATTGATTGTAGGCATTGGTCTAGGCATATTTTGCGGTGAAGAGGCAGTTATAAGCCCAAAAAAGGTGATAAAATAAGTTAAGTTTTGTTCTAGTGTTCCCTGTTCACATCAGAGGTACATTTGTTTATTTGATATTAAAGATTTTATTTTTAATTGTTTTAGAGTTTTACATCCAACCATTGATTGACTTTATCTTTTGTTCACAGCCGCCAACTGCCTCCCACACAGGGACGGAGCCAGAAAGATACGTTAAGTTGGGCTGAAATTTAATTTAATTTTTCAATGAACTTATATCATAAAAGATACTCTAATCCACACGAATTTTAGTTTAAAACCCACTGAACCGGCCTATTCAATCATAAACCGGTGAACTGGTTGTAGTTTTCTTTATTTATTTATTTTTTTGTTTAAAAAATTTTAACTTCATGAATGGACCTCATCAAGTCCACAGTTTGAAGAAATAATCATCGCTAAGGATCCATTAACAGAAGCATTCTATCAAAAAATTAATGAGTGTTGACAATAGTTGAGGCAAGAATCGTGCTTCAGCCAAGTGCAGCAAATTAGCACTTGAGTCGCCATTCATTTTCATTAAAAATTAATATTTTTAAATTTTTCTCATTTTACATATTTTGAAAAATATCTGTCATTTAGAATCAATATTTCATTATAAGATAAACACTTTTTACAGTTTACATGTTTTGATGATATACGTGTTACTGTGTTACTTGTAATGTAACATTAAAATAATTAATTTTTTTGTAATTAAAAACAACATTTTAGGGTAACTTTGTATTACCTGCATAGTAATATATATGTATTGTTGTGTTAAATCCATCAAAATGCTAATCATCGTCACAAACCAATCAGGTCGAATTTCTCCGATCTCAAGGATCCCCTTATTTTCCCAGCCAACACTATTTTCTAGTGATGCATGTTTCAAAAGAAGGGCTGGGCTATAGCCCATCCCAGCCCCCCCGCTCCCCCACCGTCTAGAAAGGCTGTGTACGTCTAACGGTTTGTCCAAGTGTGTAAGAACTACACATTAATGGTAGTGGAGTCCAAAACTTTTGACCACATACCCTCGTCGAATTTCAACATCAACAATATGAATTGTGATGTTTTAAAATCTATTTATTTAGAATTTACAGTTTATGCTTTCTTTTTTTATTATGTTGTGATTTTCTAAGATTGTGTTTTTTGAGTTTTTGTTATATTTAAATTGCAACTCAACTCAAATAATTAATTATTTCCTCTTTTTTTAAAAAAAATTAATCGATAGTTTTTTGTGGCATACATATATAGATGCATAATATATTCAAAGTTTCTTGACATTAATCTTTCAGTAATTTAGTATACGTGCAACAAAAACATACATTAATTTAGTTTTTGCTATCTTATGTGTATTTGTATGGAAAATATCTCACAGAAAAGAAAATATTTTCTTTATTTGGAAGAAAATAAAAACACATCCCCCCAAATAAAGTGCTTTCCTTAAAAACAAGGAAAACTGTATATTTGCAAAGGTTGGAAAATATTTTTCATGGGCAAAAATGACAATCAAAAAACTATGTGTGTGTGTGTGTATATATATATATATACATTTTTTTTTAAAAGCATTTTGTTCATAATAAAGAGGAGAATGATAGTGAATTGGTTCAAGCAGAACATGGGAATTGCGTTTCTGAATGAGCAAAGCTGCAGTTACAAAAATTTTATTTGTTTAAACATATCGGAATAGACACATGGGGGTGGGCCCCATTTTTTATAATAATATTTTATGAGGAAATTACACACAACCCTACTTTTAGATTACCATTTTCATAAACCTCGAATCAAGTTTCATTTTGCAAAATTCAGGTTTTAATTAAGAATTTAAAAACATTATTTTTATTGTTATATCTATTTACAATAAATTAATTTATATATACTCCTCCCTCATATCCTATCTACCCCAAACCCTAAAAAATGATTAGCCCATCTCATCTCCACTTCGAATTCCTCTCTGCAATACGTTGTCGCCGCTGCCACGCTGCGCCGCTAGCACTGACGTCAGTTCCTCTCTCCTCCCTGCTACCGTCGATTCATCTCTCTCTGCGATACGCCACCTTCTCGGTCGTCAATTCTTCTCTCCGTCGTCTGCTCTCCTCCCCGCCGCCGTAACGGCCTCCGAAACTTCATCCATTCGACACGACCGTCGACACTTATTCTCCCTCATCTCTCTGTCGCTCGTCTTCACTCTCCCTCTCTATTTTCTGTTTGGATCCACCGTCGTTGCTGCTGCGAACGACGGGTCGCGACCGTGTGGATGCCAACTACTGTGTGTGCGCGCGCGCGTGTAGTAGTTGGGTGTTGTGGAATTTAACAGTTCTATTTGAACTCCACTGTTAGTCCGTCGATTCGGTTGGGTGTCAGTGCATGCGTGTGTGCGGTTGGGTTTGTGTGTGGGTACGGCGGTGGTAGAGGTGCAGTTCCATTTTTTTTGTTTTATTTTGAGCAGTTAGGTCTCATTAAGGTGCAGATATGTTTGGGTGTGGTTGGGCGTGTGTGTGGGCGACGGCGGTACGATGGTTGTGTGGCGGTGGTCGTCGTAAACGGTGCGGTGTCGTGGCGTTGTGATGGATAGTGCGCTAGAATTGTGGAACTGAAGTTGTTGCCAGCGGTGGTTGTGGGTTCTGTGCTGTTTGGCGGTGTGTGTGGCGACGTGGTTTTGGGGTGGTGATAGTGGTGT